TAGCTTTCTTTTGACAATGTTGTGTTCAAAAATGTATTTTTATCTTGTAATCTATACACACAATAAGTAAACAAAAAATGTTTTTCTGTAGCTTAAATATTTTTCCAGTTTTTTTAAAATGACACTAAATTTATTTTTCATCTATTGAGGGACACAGAACTGTAATGCCTAGACAATTAGGTTGCACAGCTGACTTACCAGGAGGCTTGGACAATGGGAAACAAAAAACTAAAGTTAGGATGGCCCCTATATGTCCCTGCCTCCAACTAGCATGCTTCCGATTTCGCTAGTGTGCAAGGAGATTGGATGCCTTTTCTTATTTTTTTTTTTTCAGAGTAGTGTGCCCCCTTTCTTACTTGCAAGGAAGCATCCATTGCTAATAACTCCTGTACTTCCCTAGAGAGCCAATAGGCAGGAAACTCTGTTACCTTGCTGCAAAAATTCCCTATGTGGGATAGTGTAGCCCAGAGGCCTTTGTTACATCTTTTCTGTGACCAAGCTGTGGTAGTCTCCTTACATTTTGTTTTCTCTCCCTTCTCTATCAGACTAATATTCCTAGTGTTAATACTAGGATTCATACCCCTAAATCCTCTGTGACGGATTCTGCCCTTACAGCGCTTAGCCTTATGAACCCTAGGATCACATAGCCTTTGCCCAATTCCACATTGCTTCTTATTGATCACTTTAGTTGTCGGTCCAAGTTTTTTTTTTCCTTGTTCAGGTAGGTGGTTGTGTCACCTGTTTTCCTTATGATGGATGAATGGTTGTCCTCCACATTGCTAATTAAGGTCCATTTTAAGGTTGAAGTTTCTACTTACTGGTGTCTACCTGTCCTGGTCTGGAGCACTAGATTGATCCTCAGTGCCCTCCCCCTAGGTTGTGGTAATTCCATGTTTGGTTGGCCCTGGTTCTTCTAAGCTTCGTTCAGATACTCTTTGTGATATGGTTTGCACATCTATTAGATTTCTTAGTAGCTGTTGCCCAGCCCTCAGACTGCTTTTGGACATTACAGTTGTCTAAGAATTATTCTGTCCCTCAATAAATGATAAAGAAAATAAGATTTTTGTACTTAACATGAAATACTTATTTTCTGGTGTTAATCATGGCAAAGTTATCTGTAAGTGGAAAAATAATGGGTAAAGGTAGTGGAGAGGTGGAGGAAGGAGTTATTTAGGGTTAACAATGGGTTAAGAATGGGTTGAATACTTTTATTAAAAAAAAGTTATATGCAGATCAAAGGTCACGGCTTTTAATCTACAGGTGTAAACAAATGTATTGGTTCCCTTAAAGCTCATTGAAACAATGCTTCATTCCCCCTGAAAAGTTATGAAATGTAAAAGCAGTCATCTAATTTTATGCCTGCATGCCTTTAGTATGTCATAGAGCAAAGCAAAGAAAGTGTGAAAAGAGATGCAATTTTACTTCTTGAACAAAGATATATTCTAAAGGCGCCTGGACAGATTTGTTGGTACCCCTAGAAAAAAATGATATATAATTGGATCATAGTGCTATTTCAAACAAACGTTTCTGTCATTCATATCACAAATATCTTCAGTCTTGTGATCAGTCAGTCAGCTTATATAAATCTAGAAACCGTCACTCTGCTGTTTGGTGTCATCGTGTGCACCATACTGGACATGAACCAGAGAAGGCAAAGGAGAGCGTTGTCTGAGGAGTGCAAAAGGAAAATGATAAACCAGCATGTTAAGGTAAATGCTTTAAGACCTCTCAAGTAGCTTGATGTTCCTGTGACTACAATTACAAATATTACAAAGTTTAAAGTGCATGAGAGTGTAAGAAGAATATCGATCCCCTGACTGAACAGAAGGATCGTGTAAATGGTACACAAAGAGCCAAGGAAAACTTCCAAAGAGATACAGGCTGAACTTTAAGGTCAAGGTACATTAGTGTTTAATCACACTGTTGCTTTTTGAGCATTAGGAGGCTCAAAGGAAGACTCCACTGTTTGAAAGGAAAACATAAATAAGCCAAACTGGAATCGACTAAATTCATATTGACAAAGCACAATGTTGCTGGAAGAATGTGCTTTAGATGGAGACAAAACTGAAGATTTTTGCCAAGTAACATCAGCTCTATGTTCACAGATGTTCAAAAATGAAGCTTTCAAAGAAAATAACAACTTGTTATAAAACATGCAGGGGGCTTGGTTATGTTTTGGGACTGCTCTGCTGTATCTGGCACAAGGTGCAGGGCACAATAAGATCCCAAGACTTTCGAGAAATCCTGGATTGAAATGTACTACCGGTGTCAGAAGGCTCTGTCTTGCAGATCTCGGATCCTCCAACAGGATAATGACCCAAAACACACCACTAAAAGCACCCAAGAAAATTGGAGTATTCAGAAGTGGTCTTCTGTGAGCTCTGATCTGAATCCTATTAAACATCTATAGAAAAAGCTCAAACCTGTAGTCCTGGAGAAGGCATTCCTACGGTACCAACAAATTTCTCCACGTCTATACAGAAGACTCAAATAATAAATGCAATGAAACAATACATTGTATTAACTCAAAATCACTGGCCATCTTTCTGAAACTGTCATTTTACACAGGAGTGACTATTTTGACTGCCACCCCTGCTGTGTAAAGCTGGCCAAACACCTATAGATTTTCTGCAGATTTTCTATGGTCAGATGGAAAAAGTGCAACAGATTCCTGTGTGGATAGAGGAATCTCCCGCTGGGCCATGCTTCAGTATCTTGCTAGTCTGCCCCACTGACTCTTGAACAATCTGATTGGATGCAGGCATTGTTCAGGTATTTTAAGTATTTTGACAGCCAGCGGGGCTGACTAGCAAGATACTGAAGCATGGCGCAGCGTAGACACAGTTTAGCGTAGATGGAAGAATCTGTTGCACTTGTTTTCCATCTGACCATAGAAAATCTGCTGAAAATCTCTGTGTATGGCCAGCTTTACACCAAGTAATTCCTGCCTGTCATTTTATTAGCTGGAGATAACAGTGGGGGCAGAGGGGCAGGACGTAAGGGATATTGTTGACGTTGTTCAAAATCCTTAAGTGGTTAAACACTGTACAGATGTATTTGTAATGTATGATGAACATGGACTGATGACCATTTTTTGTGTCTTAGGGGATGTGGAACGAAAATGCAACCTAGACCTCAGTCCTCTGTGTGATCGGAATACATCCAACATAGCCAACATCCAGATTGGTAAGGAGCACCAAGGGTGGCAGCACATTTAGACATTTTGTTTCTTTTTTTTACATAGTTATACATTTACTTTATGAAAGCATGATTTGATTATACAGTATGAAGCTGTACAAGGTAAATTCTTAGCACATAAGTAACATGAAACTCCGTATGAATAACTGAGAAAAATCCTTAGGGCCACTGCAATTCTATGGCTTTAGGCTAGCCTGAAAATTCTCACTTCGCTTTACTCTGAGCATTGCTGTTCTCCTACCCCAGCTGAATTCTCAGTAGAAAAAGAAAATTCAGCACTGACTCATTAAAGAACATTGAAAAACAAACTTTTTTTTTTTTTTTTTTAGCCATGTGTTTTACTGGGGTAATTTACCTTGACTTCCTGTCCTGTAGACACAACAGGAAGTGAGGAGGATATCTTTCCACAGTGAGATAAATTGCCCCTTAGATACTTGTCACAGGACCTTGACCAAATGTCCTTGTTGTCCTGTATTCCTGTTCTAGTAGCAACTAAAGATTTTAGCTTTACTTTTTCATTCCCCCAATGACATTGGTGATCAAGATAGTTTAAGTGAATGAATCTTTTTAATGGGGACACCTACATTAATTTAAAAAAAGACAGAAAACCTGACGGTGGTTATACCCATTCATCACTCCCTCCAAATCCAAGTTTATCTTTGCTTGTACTCCAACAATAGCATTATAACCATAAGTGTCTATTGCGCTAATCTTTAGTTATTGTCAATACAACTTTAATTACGTGTTTAAAGAGGTGCCGGATTTCAACAGACAAGACTACTTTTATGTTGAAGATGCACTTTTTAGAAGTGTGTATAAAAGATTTATCATTTATGCTTTTACATGTATTCTATGCTTTTTATATTTATTCTAAAAAATGTTTGTATATGCATTGTCATTTAAAGCCCAACTGAATTTGTTAATTTAAAACTGGCTAAATGCATTCCATTTTGCACAAAACAAAAGTTGCACAGTCTTAATTTTCTATAGAAAGCAGCCACAGCCTAAGCCTGTCCCTGGCCAAAATACTGTAGAGAAAGGACCTCTCTGTGTGGAAGGAGTGGTCTCTCTGCAGAATTCTGACATGTCCCCTGCTGAGTCAGACCCACAGCTTTGCAATAGCAATCTGACTCAGCCGTGGGCATGTTGGTCTGCATGAGGACCACTGCTTCCCCACAAGAGCAGGGACCAGGCTTTTCTACTCAAGCTGTGGATGGTTCCTAAAGAAAACAAAATGTAAAACTTTGCACCCCTTTTAGTTTTGATGCACCTGGGATGTATTTCGCTGATTCAAAGTGAAAGCTCTCTTGGGTTTTACAGTTGTATTGACAGTCACTACAGGTGATCTTATTTGATATTTATAGTTACGTATATATTTCCTATGCACTAAAAGGCAAGGATTCGGAGACAATTGTGTATACTGATGCCTACAGGAGGATTTGGTTCAGCCTAATATAACTCATCCCTCTACTATCATGGATATCTTTCCTTTACTGAGGAAAGTTTAAGTGTTTTTACCAGCCATTTTTTCTTTTCAGATTATTTTCTTTAAGGCTTAATGCACAGGCTGCTTGAGCTTTTCTCTCTTAAAGGAGAACTATGGGGTCAATGTTTTTCCCCATAGTTCTCCTTAGGGTAACGGGAGGACACAAACTAGCGTCCTCCCGTTACCCTAAGCTCAGTACACAGCAAGCTACAGCTCGCGGTATACTGAGACGCCGGAGCGGATCCCGACGTAGATGACGGGATCCGCCCAGCTGCGTGAGTGACAGCTGGCTCTGCCTATCTAGAGGCAGAGACAGCTGTACCCGCCCCCTCCCCCGTCCGTTCCGCCAGTCAGCGCTGGCAGATCGGAGCGGGGAGAGGGGAATCCAGCCCCTCCCCCTGTCACGGCAGAGAGCCGTGACAGGATCGAGAGGTGAGCGAACCCGGTATGTGTTCGCTCACCTCCCGATCTACTGAGCCGACCTGTGACAGTCTCATTGTCACAGGTCAGCTAGAACTATGAGGTGAGTGAAAAGCACTCGCCTCATAGTTCTCCGTTAATGCAGCGATCAACCTCTGTTGTGACCCAGTCTTGAAGACCCACTAATAAGTAGCCCACATGGACTAAACACGGTCATTTATTAGATCCACTGGGTTCCGGTAGCGCCTTCCTGCCATTGCTCTTGATCTGAAATCCTTTTTTTTTTTTTTTCTTTAAGCGACCATGAATTTATTTCAGAAGGGTCACCCCGACGGTCCCCTGTAAAATAATAGGTGTCCTCAGCGGCTGACAAGCTGCTTAACAAAAATTCCGGGTCTCCTGCCCCCCTTCCCCGCCACTGCCGACAGCTTCTCCTCCCCACCTGGAGCCACTCCATGCTTCTCCTAGGATCCCTGCTGCTCTCCCCCACCTGTATGGGCTGAGGCAGGGGAGATCCGAGGAGAAAATGTCCCCTGAAGCCGGCAGAGGAGGGAGCCGCTTGTAAGGATGGCCCGAGCAGCAGGAGACTGAGAGCGGAGCCGCTGTCATCCTGTCAGTTTCAGGATGACAGCTGCTCTGTGTGTGACCGAGCGGAGGATCGGTAAATATCACTGTGTGCAGAACAAACACGAGTGATTTCTGATCACTCCAGTGTTTGTAAACAACTGGGAACACATAGTCCCAGTTAGGAATAAACAGGAAGTGATTTACATCACGTCCTGTTCATTTATGAGTTTCTGAATGGGTAGAAATAGAGGCTTCTACCCATTCATAACTGGATGATGGTAAATATTTTACTGTCTCCAGAACTGCCTCTTCATTCAGAACAGAGGCTGCAGAAAAAGACATTGGGGACTCTGTGTCCTCAATTTATTTTTCTATTTCAAAAGGGAAATGTCAGGGGTCTGTTTAGACCCCTGATATTTCCCGGAGACCCCCCCTCCCTATAGAAAAAATAAGAGACAACCCCCCTTTACCACCCCATACACACGCACCATATTGTGGTGTATGCCACGCACATGCGCTGTGTTGTTAGATCACAGTGCTTGATATATATATATTTTTTTTTTGTAATGTAACATTCAATAACTTTCAGCACGGCTTGTTACAAACTGAGGCATGCTGAAAGTGGGAGGAGTTATAGAAGGCTGGTCACTTTGTCAGTTCCAAATCCTCCTGTAGGCAGATGTATAACCCAGTTGTCTCTGAATCATGTGTTCCTCAATGCATTTCCAAGAAAAGGATTTACAGCAACTTCAAAAATCCAAGTTAGAACAGTTGGCAGGAGTTCTATCAGTTTTTTTTTCTGTAGCTGTAAGTACCCAGCCTGCCTAAGTAAGCGTTTGTATCCATTGGCGACTGCTGTTCTGCATAAAGCATAGCTGCATAGTTAGACTTGTTAAAACCCTCTGGGACCCTTGTAGGTTGCTCTGAGAGTGATCAGATGAATGAATTGCACTTTAATCAATGTAATTGACTTTATTTTGTTTGTCTTTGCTTTGTTGTGAAGGTTTTATCACCTATTTGGTGGAACCATTGTTTGTGGAGTGGGCCAGGTTCAGCAACACCAGACTGTCACAGACCATGCTAGGTCACGTGGGACTAAATAAAGCCAGCTGGAAGGGAATGCTGCAGGAACGGTCTAGTAGTGAAGAAGCTGATCCTGCATTTGATGACTGACCTATTTTTTTTTTTTACCTCAGGAAGATTGTGCACCATGAACCTAGAGCATGTATTAAAGCAGGTTATCTTTTGGCGGAACTATCAGAGACAGAAAAGGTCTTGGTGAGAAAGCAATTGAGCCTGATTGCCAAGGGTTACACATTAAGAAAAATAATGCCAGCATTATTTATCTCCAAGTTTTCCTTTAACGTGTTATTTTTTTTTTCTGTTGACCCCCTCCATGGGAAGACCTGAACATAGAGCAATATGCACATACCTCAGTTGGCTTTTGTATCAAAGCTTGAATATGCAAAGCACAGCAATGACTGAAAACTGCAGGAAGATTCTTATGTATGTGCCACAGGTCCCTCCCCCTTTTTTTTGGGTTAAAGGAGAGTTCGTTTTTCTTAAAATGGAAGAAACCTTTTGTCAGCGCCTGGTGAGAACTCTCCAGAATTTAGTGACTGATCTTTTACCTTCCACTTTGTATTGAATTCTCTGTTAGAAATGTGAAGTGCCCACACTGCTTTGCTGCCTAGGCAAGGAATGCTGTTTACAAATACACTGAAAATACTGACTGAAAACTTGCCTTGAAGCATGGTTGTGAAGGAACCACTAACTGGATATTTGTTTTGTATGATTATTTAAGAGAACAAATTTGGAAATTTGGACTGCAATCCTCCCTTACCCTTGACACCACCAACTCCATTTTATTTACCACTGATCTAACAGAAATAATTTGTAATAATTTAACAGCAAAGTACAAGGAGTGTATCCTGGCAGTTTGGCAGAGCTACCGTTAAATGCATTGCATGCAATTTTGTTTTTCCTTTTTCCACTACTGAACACTTGAACTGCACAGAAAAGGTGAAATTAATGTAAACACCATATTCAGCTCAGGGTATTTGCCAATCTGAAATAAAGAGGGAAGGGAATTGTCGTTCGGACGAGGGTACAAATGCCTTTTTTGCTGCAGCGTGCCTGTGTGTGTTGAGAGGGGCTGTATTGTGTGTCTGTGTGTGTGTGTGTCTGTGTGTATGCGTGCATGCAGTTGGTTTTGTGTCTCTCCCATGGGTTTGGATCTTCCTCACAATAGCTTTTGCCTGAACGCCAACTCCCATAATTTTTAAAAGTCTTTATAGATGGTGGGAGTTGTAGGTTCAGCTCAGCTGCTGTGCTGACTCTGCCACCCATGGTCTAAGTTTTGGTTCAGTCGTCACCGCTGTAGGATGACTAAACTGTAACAAATTGCTAAAATGCCTTAATCTATGCACAAAGCTAAGTGACCAAACGTGTTTTGTTTTTCTTCTCTTTATATGTGCACTTGTTTAGTTTTTTTCCATTTTTTTGTTTCCTTTTTTCTTTTCTTTTTTTCTTTAGTGAAATAGTTTTGTGGGATTTTGTTGTATGATGAATTGTTTTTAGGACCAGTGGCAGGACTAATTTTAAACTTAAAACATTCCATTATTTTGTAATTTGTTTTACGTATAGTGAGCACAACTGTTATGTAGGTTAAGAGAAAAAAATGGTGCTTTTTTAGTTAATTTGTATTTTCCTTGGTATTGCTGTTAAAGACTGTTTATCATCTGTTTACAGTTCGTTGCAACAGACAACATTTTTTTTTCTTAGGCCGGGGGGAAGACTGCTTAAGCGTGAAGCCATTTGTACACGGCTTTGCCATACTCATTTTAATATGTGCCTGTTGCTGTTCAGTTTTGATGAATAAAAATAAAACAAAACAACTTTTTATTTTGTGTTGCTTTTAAATACTGAATGTCTACCATTTCTTGGCTATCAAAATACATTATTTTGGAAGACCATAAAGGTTGCAGAACGGCACAAGTGTACTTGTAATCAAAAGATAAAATAACAAAGCCAGCTTTTGTTGCAATATTCACTTTCAATCTAGAGCTTTCCCCAGTGGGAGTTTTTTCTTTTCTTTTCTGTCATTAGATGTCCCTAGTCTGATGGCCAGCATCGTTCAACCCAGTCTTGCTGGGTCAGTAGTAGGGATGCAGCGATACCGAGTATTTAGGCGAGTACTCGTACTCGCCCAAATGCTTCAATACCTTTCCCTTTACTGGAACTTCCGGTCAGATGGAGATTTCCTCTAAACGGTAGTGCCGCAAGGGAACATGGAGCCAGGAAGCTTGCTCGATGCTGATTGGGCGGGAAGCCGGCTTTCCAGCCAATCCGTGTCGAGCCAGGCAAACAAATCTGATAATATGGCGACACGACCCCCACCCTGCAGACAAATCATCCCCCTCACCTAGATCCTTGGCAGCAGTCATTACCGTACCAGTCCCTCGGCCAGCTGGGCAGACAACGCTCTCCGGGATCTACCCACGTCTCCTGCGTGATCGGCCCTCAGTATGCTACTGCGCATGCGCAGGATTTCTGAATGAGCGTGCTGGGCAGTCTGTGCAGTAGCAGGCCGAGGGCCAATCACATGGGCGCTGTACACACAGGAGACGTGGGCAGACCCGGGAGAGAGTTTCCCCGAAAATAAGACTGTCTTATATTTTTTGGGGGGCTCAAGAAAACACACTAGGTCTTATTTTCGGAGTAGGTATTTATTTATTTTTTATGTACAACAATCCACACTTATTCATGTACAAAAATATGGTGATCAGGGGTGCCGTGCCTTTCCAAGAGCAATTTGGTAACCAAACACTGGCCAGAATGAGCGAAGCGCGCTTTCACTATGGATTCCTCACAGGCGGAGTGCATTTGGTATCACTCCGCCTGTGACAGGAGACGGCGCTATAGAGGAGGCATCGGCTTATGCGGCTCTGCTCCCTCCGCAGCCGCCTCGCTTCCTCTAGCGCTGACTTTGTTTGCACCGCTGATTCTCTCCCGCGGCTCTTCAAGTTCCCCCTTATGCCACCACTGGCCCTGGGAATGGTCACAACTAGGCCTTATTTTCGGGGTAGGTCTTATATTTTATCAATTTCCAAAAATTGTACTAGGTCTTATTTTCGGGGGAAACAGGGTATGTAAGGGGAATTAGGTGCCTGCAGGGTGGGGGTCGGGTCACCATATTGTCAGATCTGTTTGGCCGGCCTCGATGCCAATTGGCTGGGAAGCCAGCTTTTGAAAGGGAATTTGTAAATTTGGTTTATTTCCCAGTTTGCATTAACTGGTCTCTTCCTACTTTGAGTGACTTTAATGTGTCAAACCATGTAGGGTTTGACAAATGGCCTCAGTGATGGATGGATTCCTTTTGATGGAATCTACCCATTTTGGTAATGTCCCTGTTTCATGGAGTGGATGAAGCAAATGTTTGGAACCTTGTGCTTTAGTTGTGATGGCTTGTTACAGGCATGTTAATTTGTCTCGCGTGGCATGGTTCCCTCTGCATTGGAGAACCTTGTCTTGAGTTGGCTTCCTGAGTTGGACTTTGCTGAACAACACCAAGGTGTTGCAGTGTCTTTGTCTCTGGGAAGCTGTGGGGGCGTATTGTGCGGGGGCGTGCCTCACTCTGGCCTCATCGCTGGCCCACAATACATGTCCATGTGGACCGAAAGGTGTCTGAACACAGTGCATAGCTGTTTGTTGTGTATGGGGTTGTGTAGCCGCAGACCACTCAGTGTGCCCATTCTGACTCGTGTCCATCTCCATAGCGCCTACCTAGAATGGGCACATGAGGATCGGAACAGGACCACCGCAATGGAAGAAGATGGCCTGGTCTGACTAATCACATTTTCTTTACATCATGTTGATGACCGGGTGCTTGTGTGTTGCTTACCTGAAAAAGAGACGGCACTAGGTAGGATACACTATAGAAAGAAGGTAAGCCAGTGGAGGCAGTGTGATGCTTTGGGCAATGTTCTCCTCTGAAACCTTGGGTCCTGCCATTAATCTGGATGTTACTCATTGAAACTGTATTCCCTGATGGCAGTGGCCTTTCAGCAGGATAATGTGCTTGCCCCACTGCAAAAATAGTATGAGGAACGCAACAACGAGTTTCAGGTGTTGAGTTGGCCTCCAAATTCTCCAGATCTCTATCCAATCAAACAAGTTTGGGATATGCTGAAAAAACATACGATCTATGGAGCCCACACCTCAAAACTTACAGGAATTAAAAAGGACCTGCTACTGACTGCTCAGTGCCAGATACCACAGCATACTTTCAGAGGTCTAGTGGAGACCATGCCTTGACAGGTCAGGGCTGTTTTGGTGAGCTACTCAATAATAGGCCTATGGTCATAATGTTAGGGCCAATCCCTGGCTTCATGCAGTGTCTGCTAAATTCAGATGTTTTCAGGTAACACATTTTCTCATCTTCTAGTTTGTTGACCCCTTGCTTTCTGTAGCCTTAATACCGGTACTATCCTAACAATATTGAAGCCTGGCCTCTTTGTGCTTTGACAAGTTCAGAGATACTCTCCTACTGTTCTAGTTTTTTTTTTTTTACAGTTAAAAATTGGCCAAATGTATTAATATCGGGCGGTTAGGATTGGTACGAGCATAAACAAATGAATGAATCCAATTGTATGGACACAACTCTTCTCAAACTGCAATAGAAGATGGATTGGTTTTGTAACCTCTAAAGCACATTCGGTCTCTTAGAAATGACTTGGTACTATGACAAACAGTTTCTACAATTCTAGATCATAGAACACAAAAGTGACAATAATGTAGATGAGCAACTTCTTTATTTTTTGAAAACCCATTATTGAACGGCACTTATAATGAATACAACTGTTGCTCGGGCTTCAACGTTTCAGACTTCTAAATGATACAACTAAAACTCAATATACAGTATAATATGTTATTAATCTAAAATAATATACAGAACCACGGTGCGTTCCAGTTTTGGTTGCTATTGGTAAAGTAGCAAACAATAAAAAAAAAAAGGAAATCTCTAAACAAACTAGAAAGTCACACGCATTCAAAGTACAACGTCACTGTTAACTTCACAACATAACTTCAATGTTATGCTGATAATGAGCTAGGCCTGACAAAAATAAGTGTTAGGAGAGTTTGTCTGCTAGTCAATGGGCAGCTCAGTGTTGTAATAAGAAACATGTCATCCCTTTAAACCTGCAGCACACCCTCCAAATACATGACCAGAGATGAAATGGCAGGAATGTTTTCCTTAAAGCATACCTCCTATGAGTGATGTGAAGGGGTATCATTGGCTGGCCTCCTGAAAATGCTATGAGTCACAAACCTGTAACATGGAGGGATGTTATACAAGCGATTCGCCGGCTATATGCTTGCTTCTAAACGGGCATCGCTGCCTGGTTTTAAATTTAGGCAGTTTCCTGCGCTGTGCACGAGTGGGTGGGGCCAACAGGCTCTGTTGTTTTTTTTTTTTGTTTTTTTACAACGACCGGCCGTGAGACGGTTAAAGCAGCACAACCGTAATACCATCAATAATTTGATTTCTGAGATGGATGTGGATGAAGAAATTCAACAGCTCTTCCTCTCTGGCCCAAAGCAGACACTTACACCTACTTGTGCTTTGGGAAGACCTCAGTAGATAGAAGTACCGCAATCTGAACTATGCCACAGCATGCATGTCATAGGTCCTGTACAATCTCTGACTGTAATATACATTGGGGGGAATTTATCAAAACTGGAGCAGCTGTACACGGCAACCAATCAGCCTCTCCCTTTCATTTTCAAATCTTAACTGAACACACTGAAGAGAGATGCTGATTGGTTGCCATACACAGCTGCTCCAGGTTTTGATCAATTGGCCCAAATGTATTA